CGCCACGTCTACCGCACCCTGACCAGCCATTGTTAACAGCATTTGTTCCAGGACGTGCAACAGAGGAATGACGTCGTTCATCCCATAGTCCTGCCGACTCACGAATAGCGTGGCCTCCTCAAAGGGCCTGAGCAAGCGGCAGGTGTCACGCATGAGCTGCCAATGGCTGACATCTAAGTTACACAGGGGAGTACCTTTATCCGCTTGTAACATCAGGAAATCGGTGATGGCCTTTCGCTGTTCGTAAAGGCGGTCTAACATATGTAGGGTTGAATTCCACCTTGTTGCAACGTCGCAGATCAGGCGATGCTGTGGAATTCCGTTCTGCCGCTGCAGCTCAAGGAGGGTGTGCTTTGCGGTGTAGGAATGGCTGAAATGCATGCAAAGTTTACGTGACATTTTAAGGATGTCTTGCAGTGGGATGGTGGATTTTAGGAACCGCTTGACAACCAGATTGAACACGTGAGAGCCATGCATGGCGCATGGCACAACCTTCCTTGACGCAGAGCAGACACCATGTTCTTTCCGTTGTCGGTCAACATGGTTCCGATTTTCAGTTTGCGCGGAGACAGCCATCTGTCGATTTCTCTGTTCATTACACTCAGAAGTTCCTCCCCTGTGTGACTACGTTCGCCAAGGCATACCAGGTGCAGCACAGCGTGACACCGTTGCGCCCTGCACATGTGATATGCCGGTCGGGTAATGGGACTTGGCACGGGGGTGGCGGCTGAGGACACGGCGGAAGAAGAGGTGGTAGAGGCGGACATCTTTGCTGGACCAAGGACGTGCAAACGTGGAGGCAAAAGCGGCGTGACCTGTCCAAGTTGCTGGTGCGGCTGTGCCGGCACCACGTTCACCCAGTGGGCCGTAAATGACATGTACTGTCCCTGACCGTAGTTACAGCTCCACACGTCGGCGCTGCCGTGCACTTTGGCAGAGACCGACATGCTCAAAGACTGGCCCACCATCTCTTCTACATGTGAATGCAGGGCTGGCACTGCCTTTTTGGCGAAGAAATGCCGGCTTGGCACTCTCCACCGCGGCTCGGCACAAGCCATCATTTCTCGGAAAGGTGCTGAGTCCACCACTTGGAAAGGGAGGGACTGCAGCACCAGCAACTTGGACAGGAGGACGTTCAGCTTCTGCACCGTCGGGTGCGTGCTCGCAAACTGTTGTCTCTTGGAAACGGATTCCAAGAAAACTGCTGACGGAATCCGTGAACAGGAGTAGCAGGAGAAGGAGCATCTGAACGAGCGGAAGATGCCAACGAGCGACAACTCCCCTCAGCAGAGGTGTTGGAGCCTTGACTGGCTGATAGAGGGCGATTGACGTCGGGTGACGGAGCAAGTAACGGAGCGGGTGATGGAGCGGGGGCTGGGGCAGGCAGAACCGCCGTATCTTTATCACGGTTTTCCAAGGCCACCGAATGGCGACGCTGCATATGCTGACGCAACGCTGTAGTCCCAACATTGGCCCCCCTGGCCACGCTTGACTTTCTGGCCACATAGTCGACATACGGCTACGTTTACTTCCTCGGGCGGCTTGACGAAAAATTGCCACACCGCCGAGTAGGAAACTTTGCCCCCGCTACTCCTCACTGGCTGACTGCTACTTCCTCCGTGCAACCGGCACCACTACTGGCCGTGGTGGTAGGCTGCAGTGGAGCTGGTGCTCTACTCCGTGGCCGTTTGGCTCCACTGACACTGCTGCGACCCTGCTGCCTCCTGGGCAACCCACCGACTGTTTTGCTCGCTGGCAAGCTGGCACCCTCTTCTCCTGATGATGCGGAAGCAATAGCCTGATGACGACGAGGCTGCCAAGTGCGATCAGCCTCATCATCATCAATTAGGGTCTCCGCGTCACTACTAGCCCCCTCGGCTGCGTGTGGGTCAGGAGACAGACCTGTCTCTAGACCGGCTACCGAGCCACTCTCCTCGCCAGTACTTCTTCGCCTGGCTGCTGAAGAGGCGGATGTCTCCCCCCGTTCCTGACCGCCCTCTGTTAGCTCTTCCTCACTGTACAGTGAGGCTGAGCCCACAGCATGCGATACTTCGCTTGGTGAGGGAACACCAAAGGACAGGGGCAGGTCGAGGACACGTGATTTCAGTGGGCTTGCTCCCGGGCCATGCCAACTAATGGTTGTGTCTGACGTACCCACCGACCGTTGGCTGTAGGTGTCAGAGGTGACCTGGGAAGAGGAAGACGACCGAGTCAACCAATCGATGACGGCAGGGTTGTCGGTGGAGACACGACCGCTGGATGACACCGGGAGCACTGGCCTCTGGCTGCGACTAGTGCTGCCTCGACCCCTTCCTCTGCTGCCACGTCTGCTCGCTCCTGAAACATTGCCTCCTCTGCCACTCCTCTGCGTGTTGTCTGACATACTCTTTAATTCAATAAGCACCCCAAAAATAAAAACGGATTTAACTCTTTGAACGTACAATAGTGGTTGTGAAGCAGAAAGTCAGTTTATTTAGCACAATCGGTCAATTGCAGCTTGCCGTTGGCTGGAAACTGTACGTTTAGGTCACTGGAATGCACTAATCACCCAAAAAATATTACCGCCAGCCGGCGTGTAAATGGATTTAACTCTTTGAACGTACAATAGTGGTTGTGATGCAGAAAGTCAGTTTATTTAGCACAATCGGTCAATTGCAGCTTGCCGTTGGCTGGAAACCGTACGTTTATGTCACTGGAATGCACTAATCACCCAAAAAATATTACCGCCAGCCGGCGTGTAAATGGATTTAACTCTTTGAACGTACAATAGTGGTTGTGAAGCAGAAAGTCAGTTTATTTTGCACAAATCGGCAAACTGCAGCACCAACTGTGCACGACAGCCACCAAAAAAAAAAAAAAGGATGTATGTCACTTTAAATTTTCGATTCTTTGATAGCTGTGGCCCTGAGTAACGATTCTGTGTCCCTGAGTAACGATTCTGTGTCCCTGAGTAACGATTCTGTGTCCCTGAGTAACTTCTGTGGCCCTAACTCTCTGTGGCCCTTACTCTGTCCCTTAATACACACAGGTCTGTCTCTCTTGAATGACCGGAGGCTAATGGAGAATTCTAAGATGGCCGCGATTTTTATAGTGCTGGCTGGCTGCTGATTGGCTAATGCGATCACATGTCATGAATGCATTATGGGTCAGCGCGCCTTGTCTGCGCGCCTTCCCAGAGATCCCCGCCCCATCTTCTCTGTCCATTTTCTCTCGTGGCCACACATGTCACCGCCATTTTTGGGAAAATTCGATTCGTGCATCCGAAGTTTGCTAATCTTCGGATTCGTCGCGAATAGAATTTTTCCAAATCTTCAGAACGAATTCCACTTCGTCATGTTCGATTCGCTCATCTCTAGCGCAGAGCTTTTGGGGGACCCAAAACTCAGTGATTCCTAAGGGGTAGTGCTACACATGTAACATGTTACAGATGCAGTTACCCCAGATCCCTCATTTTGACAGTCACAAATTAAGAAAAACGCAGCTGTACAGGGCTTCGCTAGGCCACATCATTCATTCACAGAGTTCTGTGAATGTGAAAACTACAAGTACCGACAGCCTATGTTGGTGTCAGCTTGTAAATTCTCAATGAGCTAGCAGGACAACCGTTGAGTGCTGTGATAGTTCATTGAGTCTTCCTTTACAAGGTACAAGAAGACAGCTTACACAGTCTGTCTGCAAGAGCCCTGCATAGCACCCATGATCTTCTGATCACGGGTGCAATGCTTTGCAGGCTCATAGTAGAAAAAATAAAAATGCACATTTTTTTTACCTGCAAAAACATGTCCATTTATTATTGTTTTTACAAATATGAACTTATCCTTTAATGGTATTACTATCACAATAGTGTTATGCAATGATTGAATGTAAGGGTCGTATTGTGCAGCCTACATATTGTAACCTACAGGCTGCAAATTGAACCAAATACACAACATGGTCTGAACCACAGTTGATGAACTGCAGGTTCCTCACTCGTGGCAATAAAACAAAACGTTTATTGATTCTAAGAACTCTACAATATTTTTACAGTGTTCAGCACTGTAGTAAACACTTGGTGTGTGTAAAAGATAAAAAAATATTTATCACAGCCTCCTTATACGCTGGCTGACTGATTTGATGGCACTATATGCCAGCCAGTGTCTTAAATCACTAGCCACTGCAGTAAAATTTCACTGCAGTGACACTGCACTACTCTGGTGACTGTGGCAATTTTTTTTGTTTTTAACACAATAGGCTCCGTTCACTAAAGCAGATCACATGTGGTATTTAGGTGATCTGACACATTTTTCCTAAATATCGCATACAATGCTCAAATTGCCAATTTACCATTACCTTATACAGTATTTATCTCAAAATTAAAAAATGCTTGGTAAATACTGCATGAAACATTGTTATTATTTATTATTATTATTATACAGGATTTATATAGTGCCAACGGTTTGCTCAGCACTTTACATTATAGTGGGAGACAGTACAGTAACAATACAGTTTAATAAAAGAGGGAATTGAGGGCCCTGCTCCTTGAAGCTTACAATCTAGGAGGGAGGGGTAAGTGGCACAATAGGTAAGACTGTGGGGATGGAGTGGTTGGAAGAGTAGAGGATTCTGGTATTAGCAGAGAGCAGGATAGGCTTCCCTGAAAAGATAGGTTTTCAATGATCGCCAAAAGGTAAGTAGAGTAGATGATAGTCTGATAGATTGGGGTAGGGAGTTCCAGGGGATGGGTGACGCCCTGGAGAAGTCTTGGAGACGAGCATGGGAGGAGGAGATAAGGATGCTAGAGAGTAGGATGTCTTGCGAGGAGCGGAGTGTATGGTTTGGGTGATATTTAGAGATACGATCGGATATGTAAATTGGAGCAGTGTTGTGGATGGCTTTGTATGTCATAGTTAGTGTTTTGAATTTTATCCGTTGGGCAACTGGGAGCCAGTGGAGGGATTGGCAGAGAGGGGTGGCAGATACAAAGAGGTTAGTGAGGTGGATGAGTCTGGCAGCAGCATTCATGATAGACTGAAGGGGGGATAGCCTGCGATGAGGTAGGCCAATGAGCAGGGAGGTACAATAGTCGAGGCGTGATATGACAAAGGAGTGAATAAGTTGCTTAGTGGTTTCCGGGGATAGGAATGGTCAAATCTTGGAGATGTTGCAGAGGTGAACTCTACATGATTTTGTCAGTGATTAGATCTGGGGCTGGAAGGACAGATGGGAGTCTAGGATTACACCTAGTACCCTGGCATGAGGGGAAGGACTAATGATTTTGTTATCGATATTTATGGAGAAGTCAGTGGAGGTGGCACGGGCAGAGGGGAATACTAGGAGCTCAGTTTTGGAAAGGTTGAGTTTGAGGAAGTGGAGTGACATCCAAGCCGATATGTCACTTAGTAGGCTAGCGATGCGGGTGGAGACTGAAGGGGTGAGGTGAGGGGTAGACAGATAGATTTGCGTGTCATCAGCATAGAGATGGTAATTGAAGCCGTGGGAGTTTATTAAGTGACAAAGGGAGGAGGTGTAGATGGAGAAGAGAAGGGGTCCAAGGACAGAACCTTGAGGGACCCCAACAGAGAGAGGGAGTGAAGAGGAGGTGGCAGCGTTACAGGTAACATTGAATTGTTAAAGTCAATTCACAAAAGAAAATAAATAATTAAATGCATGAGTTAAATAAGTAGTGGTCCAGGCATGTGGTATTTAAAGGAATATAAAAATATAATAGCCGATTTTGAGAAGTCTCTACTTTTTTGGATCAATTATCGCAACAGTAATGCATAGAAACCTAAATATGGAAAAACACAAAATCACACTGGGGTTGATTAGACAATTGACATGTTGCTGAAAATAGACATGTTGCTGTTTCCTCTCTCTTCTATTTTGGCATCTCTACCAAAGAACTGGCATGAAGGGGTACAGGCTCTGCAGCCTGTCTGGAGTAAGATATCAGTGGGTCAGGAGCTAGAATAAAGATTCCTAGCATTTCTGCACTTTTACAGCATCTGTGAGATAATATAAAGGTCAAGGGCCATTGTTGTTTCATGAATACACAACCTAGTTGCTGTTCAGAATAGAGCAGGGTTTGATTCTCTTTTATGGTGGAAGCAATTGTTTGTATAAGTGTGCACTGGTATGTATAATAGGCTGGCCTCTTACACAGAGTTGTTCAAATGTTGTAATAGGTCTAAGTAGTTGTGCCTTTTTGTATGGTATGTTAGGTACTTTTGAATTGTACTGTATGTATGACCATTATGAGTGTATCATATTGTGTAATTCTTGTGGTGATGGGAAAGAGTTGTTGGAGATAAAGTGGCATTTGTGGAGAAGTGTGGAGAGGTGCTGGGATGTTACATGATGAGATAAAGCTTCTTTTGATTTTTAGAGGTCCAGTGTAAATCTGTTTTGATTGGTAATTTACCTTCTACTACATTTACCTACCCATATGCAGCAAGGTGCTTCTGGATTGTTTGTTGTACAAAACAAACCTCTTTGAGACAGTACTGTATGTCAAGCTGTGCATTCATTTAATGAGTAGATTCACGGAGCTAGACAATCATTCACACAGGGCCACAACATGGTACTCTTCAGCAAGGGCGCTGCTTAACACCTGTACAATTGGTGAGAATTTAATGCAGCCTTGTTCCTTGAGCACAGTTAACATAAGGATAGTCACATTTAGAAGCAGTAGAAGAAATTCCATTTACACCTTTTCAACGGAAATGACTTGTGAAGGGATCAGAGGTACAAGTGACAGTTATCTCTGTCTTCCATTTCTATATTGTAAAAAGTATCATGTGATGTAAATGTAATTATAGCTTCTATAGAAAATATAATGCTCTAAATAATAACTTGTAGAGAGATGTTTATTCCATGTCTGCATGTATTACAGTGACATATTACCACAGTATGAATGTCAGAAAACAGGGATAATTATCCTTTTGATATACAGTACATATTATTGCTGAGATAGTTTTGGTTTTAAACTGCAAATCTAAAGAAAACGGATTTCTTACAGGTAGCTACGATGGCAAACAACCTTACTCATTTGAACCAGATTTAGACCAATTGTATTCCTCTATCCTATCAATTATCACTGACATAGCTTATAATGTTATGTCAGTTGAAACAGTATTTATTCATTAGGGAACTAGTGCATTCAGTAGACATGATTTGATGTGCACTGTCTAACTGGCTGACCCAGAGCTAGGGCTCAGAGTTTCCTTTGACTTAAAATGCATACACTATACCATTTATTTTTACTCGCACTATCCCTTATCTACTCAGCTGCTGTGTCTGATCACTCCTAGTGATAAAGTTATTATTCAAATATACATACAACACTTCAGCAAAAATTATGTGCTCAATTAAGTTCTCCAATTCATGCAAACATATACATAAATTTGCTACCATAAAATAAATATCCTATAAAATTTCATATGTGTCCATATATATATATTAAATGTTCTATAAAAATGTATACGTGTTCAAATAATAATATATATGTGCTACTCATAAATCATAAAAGTGAAATGTCTATTTTCAGTGTTCTGATTAAAAAATAAAGTACTCAATGTGTCCTCTCTTCCACTGTCCATCACCATGTGGCTATCCTCCACCTTCACTCAGAGGCGTATTTGCCGTGAGGCAAATAAGGCATTTGCCTCGGGCGGCACTTTTCAGGTAGGGGGCACGGCGGCAGCGCCGCCCCCCCCCCTTTTCCACGGAAGGGACACTTCCGCGGGAAAGGGACAGGGGCTGCTGTGTTTTACCTGTATCCACGACTCCGTGTCCCAGGTCGATCCGGTCCACGAGGTGCTGCTGGAAGAGGGGTGCAGAGGGTGTCTGTCCAGTGTCTTCATCTTCCTGGATCTTGATCGCGATGTGGGTGGGATGACAAGCCGCCCCTCGAATCTGGCCACACGCCTGGGATCACTGGGCAGCCTATGGCAGCCTGTCCCTTCCTCTGCAAGCTCCGCCTCCTCATCGGTGATTGGCCGCCAGATCTGTAGCTCAGAACAGTCACACAGGCGGCCAATCACAGGCAAGGAGGCGGAGCTTGGAGAGGAGGAGCTGAGCAGCAGCGCGAAGATCGAGTGAGGGAGCAGCTGGAGCCGGTGAAGAGGAGAGCGGCTAGAGAAGGAAGACAGCTGATGGGTAAGTGTCTGTGCCTGAAGGAGGGAGCCCGGGCTGGAGCAGGGGTCAGGGGTCAGCACAGCGATGCAAGTATAATTGGTGTCAGTGGGAGTAATAGTGCCCCATCATTAGTGTCAGTGTGGGAGGAATAGTGCCCCCTCATTGGTGTCACTGACACCAATGATGGGGCACTATTCCTCCCACTGACACCAATGATGGGGCACTATTCCTCCCCCTGACACCAATGATGGGGCACTATTCCTCCCACTGACACCAAAGATGGGGCACTATTCCTCCCACTGACACCAATGATGGAACACTATTCCTCCCACTGACACTAATGATGGGGCACTATTCCTCCCCCTGACACCAATGATGGGGCACGATTCCTCCCACTGACACCAATGATGGGGCACGATTCCTCCCACTGACACCAATGATGGGGCACGATTCCTCCCACTGACACCAATGATGGGGCACTATTCCTCCCACTGACACCAATGATGGGGCACTATTCCTCCCACTGACACCAATGATGGGGCACTATTCCTCCTCCCACTGACACCAATGATGGGGCACTATTCCTCCCACTGACACCAAAGATGGGGCACTATTCCTCCCACTGACACCAATGATGGGGCACTATTCCTCCCCCTGACACCAATGATGGGGCACTATTCCTCCCACTGACACCAAAGATGGGGCACTATTCCTCCCACTGACACCAATGATGGAACACTATTCCTCCCACTGACACTAATGATGGGGCACTATTCCTCCCCCTGACACCAATGATGGGGCACGATTCCTCCCACTGACACCAATGATGGGGCACGATTCCTCCACTGACACCAATGATGGGGCACGATTCCTCCCACTGACACCAATGATGGGGCACTATTCCTCCCACTGACACCAATGATGGGGCACTATTCCTCCCACTGACACCAATGATGGGGCACTATTCCTCCCACTGACACCAATGATGGGGCACTATTCCTCCCACTGACACCAAAAGATGGGGCACTATTCCTCCCACTGACACCAATGATGGGCACTATTCCTCCCACTGACACCAATGATGGGGCACTATTCCTCCCACTGACACCAAAGATGGGGCACTATTCCTCCCACTGACACCAATGATGGGGCACTATTCCTCCCACTGACACCAAAGATGGGGCACTATTCCTCCCACTGACACCAATGATGGAACACTATTCCTCCCACTGACACTAATGATGGGGCACTATTCCTCCCCCTGACACTAATGATGGGGCACTATTCCTCCCCTGACACTAATGATGGGGCACTATTCCTCCCCCTGACACCAATGATGGGCATGATTCTTCCCACTGACACCAATGGGGCACGATTCCTCCCACTGACACCAATGATGGGGCACGATTACTCCCACTGACACCAATGATAGGACAATATTCCTCCCACTGACACCAACGATGGGGCACTATTCCTCCCACTGACACAATGATGGGGCACTATTCCTCCCACTGACACCAATGATGGGGCACTATTCCTCCCACTGACACCAATGATGGGGCACTATTCCTCCCACTGACACCAATGATGGGGCAATGATGTTCAACTCTATCATTGGCTGTTTGTGTGTTTGGCAAACAATCGAATAGTAAGCGTGGTCGGTGGGCTGTACGCCAGCCATGCTCCACAATACACTGTGCTCTCACAATGCATTGTGATTGGCCAAAGTAACGCACCTGACCACAGGTTAGGTGCAATGCTGTGGCCAACCACAGCACAATAGTTGTGACATCAATAGTAGTTTACACGAAAAGATTTTTCATGCATGTCTGACAAGATCCACCCGTAATTTCTATACTTGCAAAAAATGTTCTTAGACTAAAAAATAAAATTGCTTACAGCCACCTGTCAGAAACTGAGCTGCCAGATTTTGAACTTTGGTC